TCAAAGACTGTATGCCGGGGGAAAAGAAGGGGAGGAAAGTTATGGCGACCCTACAGGCCCGCGAGCTGAAATAATTCCCATATATTCTCCCCACGAGCACGCCGTTTGCGTTCCTCGGTTTCTTGCTCCCCCTTTTCAAGCCGTCCGTGATCTTCTTCGCGCCGCCATAATCTTTCGCGTCCCCTGTCACATCTGCTTCATAACCTTCTTTCCCTAATACACACCCACGCAACCTTTCCCAAAGGCGAACACTCCCGTGTCACTCGTATTTCTTCCAGTTTCCCGTCCAGGCTGACATTTCGCGCACGAACGAGTCTCCCCGCAAAATCCTGTTACTTTTCCCTGCGCTGGAATTCGTTCTCCTTTGAAATAAGTCTTTATGTTTCGAAGAACATTATAGGGAAACCAGCATGGATATTAGAAAGACCGATATCGGGGGAGGAACTACACCACTTGGAATTTATCGACGATGTCGAGCATGAAATATTATAGAATTATTAGTGTATTCTCTAGTCGAGACTCTTTCACGGGCAGATTAGGGCTTCTTTCAATTTCAAGTAGATATTTTATTTTATTTATGTTAAATTTTAACTTTGATTTGAAATAGCCTATATTTTCCGTTGAGACTTGGGGGCTTTTTCAAGTTCAAGTAGATATTTTACTTTATTTAAATTATAAATTAAATAGTCTACATTTTCCATCGAAACATAGAGAATACCTAAACAAAATTTCGTTCGAATTAGACAAAACTAGTAGGAGTTATAAGGATATCACAAACATACAGATTTTTTATTATATTATATTTTAACGATTCTGAATGACAATTTAATTATAATTAAATTCAAATAAATAATTGAACTTTGTCCACTAAAGATAGAAATCATTTTTATGACATATTAGAATTGAGATGGAAATGTAGGAAATACTCCCATTTGGAACAAAATAGACAACACGTTGGGATATGTCAAGGTTTATCAAGTATTGTATACAAACAGATTGACATAGTGGTAGTACAGTTTATGATTAAGCATTGGTGGAGTATAAAGATATGGTTGACATAACTTGGGAACGAGGTCGAATATAGCACACGTTTATCAACTTGATGTTTAATGAACTTTTATCATTGTTCTTGCATCATGCAGAAACGAGTCTTAGATGTTGCGTACACACTGTACATATTTTAAAATATAACCAAACCGATAATTCGCAATATAGTGCCCCCTCGTTAAAACGTCGCGTTTGTACCTCGATAAAAGTCGGAACGATAAAACGTGTTTCTAAAACGAACCTTATGTCAATTTTTTAATGTTATTGACATTAGGAATAGTACAAAATACCAAGTACTTCATCGAACTATTAAATATTTCTATTCGTTATATGAACCTAACTCGTCGCATACTCACTCGTCATCGAGTCTTATAAATTGAAATCAACACATTTTTACGTTCACGAGGAATTTGTAAAACGAATCTATTAATTTCCATGACCATTCCTTGCACGTACGAACGAAATTAAGTAGTACAGGTTTGAAAAATTATTTGTAATTAAATCGTACGTCAAGGGGTTAAAATTTGAAGAAATTTTGCTTCTGGATGCAAGTGGCCTAACATCTACCGACCCTCTTAGAGAGAATTTTTATTGCAGAAGGTTACTATTGATTCTTGTCTGAGACCTTCCAGAAGTCGCATACTCTATATAACAATGGCAGATATAGACGTCTGGCCGCTACACAACAGTGGAAGGTTGTTTAAATTAGAGCTGCACGAAATCTAATCCAATTAAGGATTAACAATTACGATTGTAAAATCTAACTGCAAACCACGATTGCAAAATACATTTTATAATCCTTAATTGCTAATGCAGATTCAATTGCAAAATGAAGCTGCTACGAATTACATTTACAACTATAAATGCAATCGATTGGCTGCAATTATAAATGTAAAATTTTCAAATGTTTAAATTTTTGATCAAACGATTGGAAAAAATGAACGTTTTATTTTTGTAACTCGTGCCTAAGTATATGCATACGAGGATCGCTAACATATTTTTAGAATTGTGTATTTAATGTTTGCATTCTTGCAAATATTGGAATAGCTTTCCAATAAAAAGCGACCAAGAAATTTTCTTCGTTTGTCAATTAAAGAATGCCTCCACGGTTCAATACCCCGAAGGAATCGGAAAAATAGAACCCGGAAATGTCGGGGTTTGAAGCAGGCAAGGGTTTTACGCACGCAATCGTCGAGGGCAATATTCTCATCGATTCACGAATAAAAAACTAAACGGCTTGATTAGATTTAACGAACGAATTTCGATGCAAACATTGTTGAAAACATTTAAGCCAACGTAACTAACAACGACAGTACTTTTAATTGGCGACTTTAACAATACACTGTGACTCTTTTTCTATTGCTCAGAATTTACCTAAGTTATATGTATATACATGTGCCAAATTCCTTTTCACAAAATAAACTCATTTAAATTCATTTAGATATTTCTGGGTTAATAAATTTCTTTAAAAATAAAAAAAAAAAGAATTTATTCCGCGATAGAAGACCCAGTAACACGAATCGAGGATTTCCTCGAAGTGGAGCAAAGTAATAGAAATAGTATCGTTTTAACTATCGATAATTGAAAGAGAAAATTTTGTTCGCGATTCGACGTTCGTGTTCCGATACTTCAAAGGAAATTGCTTTCCTTTCGCGTAATTTTTCACATTTATTTCCCATCGGCTTTTATCGCGATAATTACTCGACAATTTTCGCTCGACGGAAAGCAGGCCTTTCCGATATAATAATAACGCCTGTAGAGACGACGTGCATTTAAATCACGCGACTCGACGTAGCACGCAATCGCCACGATACGCGTGCAAACGCAATCTACGAATCCGGAAACGCGTCGTTGATTGTAAAACCTAACAGTGCTCGTGGAAACGCCGTGGCTCGCGTCCCTCGTTTATGGTTTGCAACGGGGAATTCGATTCCGCCATGACCGCAACAAAAATTAAACATCGCGTCGCATAATTCATTCCAACTTGCAAACTATTACGAGGATTCTGGTCGATTATGTTCTCGTGATCTTGTGCTCGTATTACACGTTCGAAATGGTGGAACGTGATTTCAATAAAATCGAAACTAAGACACCATTACACGTTACGAACAACGATTTTTAACAGTGAAAATTCGATTTATATTTCATAATAATTTAAACACATTTTGTATTTCTTCCATCAATGATATATAATGTGAAATTACAGCCGAAAGAACCGAAAATAGAACAGATTTAAATCTGCAAGCAGTGTGAGTGTCAAATCTGTTTGTTCGTAAATTACTTTAGGATATGAAACACCGAAAGTAACGTTGTAAAAAAGTAAAGAAATCGATAAACGTGTTGTAATCGAGAAGAAGGGAACGACAACGAACTGATTGCTTTGAATTTTAATCGAAGAACCGATAACGAACGCAAGGCAATTTTGCTTGCGCGAGACACTGTTTGTATTTTTAAATGGCGCGGATATGTTGCTTTCGAAATTGAAAATAAACTCGATTTACTCCGTTGATCCGCGAGGTTTCGTATTTCGAGAATGCCTCGAGGACAGGTTCGAATCTAGTTTTTTTTCTTGTATTTTTTATCGATTAAGAACGCAACAACGTGAAACTGGATGATAAGTTATTTATTGTTCTTCCAAAGTACGTTATCTTGATGGTGAACTTCGCACGAAAGAATGCTATTTTTCTTGAACACAGTCCGTGACACACTTAAAAATAGATTAAGAGGGGTGGCACTTTCATATAAATATTTCACTTGGAAAGTTTATCGAAGAATGCGCTCGGTTATTCAAGCTAAACGCAATATTAAATCGATTATGAAAAACAGAAGTCGGTAAACGTGTAATTGAGAACGATGTCTAACAAATATATAATTAACCACTTTCGTATATTTTCTAAATTCTTGAATGAAAAAAAAATCACTGACACGGATATTTATCGAGAGTTCATCAGTACGTTTTGCTTTTGATCTTCTTTGGCGAATGCGAAATCTAACGAAATCTAACACTAACTTTATTAATGGTTACATGAAGCACCCCATTTTCACACGTGTTCACGCTTTCCTTCGTATTTAAATTTTGAATAAAATTTAGTGAGAAAGTTGTGGCGCGCATATGGCCGCACGATGGCGCTTTACGTGAGAGTACTGCACAACTGTAGGGGAACCCCAAGTGAAGCTCGCCACGCGGTCACGGGGGATCTCGTGCGTGTATATTAACACTAGAACTACCAAACCAGTCAAAATGACCCATTCGTGATTTCTAATAAAACTTGTAAAAAATTTACTCGACTGAATTTTTGAAAATTTATCGTAATTTTCTATAAGAGAATATACAGGGTGGTCCACGCAATTGTTTCAAGTCATAACTCCGTTATTACTGCATTTACGAAAAAATGCCACAAGAGAAAGATAAATGGTTCGAAGAGCACTACATCTGTGGGCCTTTAAATTTTTGTTAGATGCAGCAGTGCATGTGCAATTAACAATTGCATCATTTCTTTAAATAGAAATGCATATTTTTTTTTACACAGATCGATTCTTCTGCCCATTCTAAGTATAAAATGATTAGGGTACCATGACAAACAAATTATTAGATCTCGAGATATTTTCAAAAAATGTCTTTATCGAAATAGATACTCAAACTTTCTTCGCGTATCTATCGTTTCAATTTCTTTGGTACAAATGAACACACTATAATTGTCGGTAGTTCTAGCGTTAATATCGAAACAGTTTTATCAATTTCGCTGAGTGATTTATTGACTTGAATAATTTATATTTTATATTATTATCGGACCACAAAAGTATAGCGTCGAATTGGTCTCTATCAATTTTTTCCCCTTAATTTCTGGCGTAAAATCGCCGCTGCTAACGAGCACACATCTCCGAATGAAAAACGGAATCCTCTAGCGACGGAAGCGCGTGCTGAACATTCTCGTTTCTTATTCTTGTCTCAGAAAATGCCTGCCGTAAAGAGGGAAGCGGAGAAGGTGCCGGAAGAGCCGGTGCCGGTGGAGGAGGTCGTCGAATCGACGTTAAACACCTTGATGAGCACAGACATGGAAATGAAAGAAGGTAAACGGATGCTTTGCTAACCATTTTCCCGTTTCGATGTTTTCGCGGATGTCGCGTGAATTTTCTCAACGAGAACCCGCGACTAACGATTCGCTTGTTTCGCAGGCACAGACGCGGAAGTAGTCACCGAGAGCGCAGGTAAAACGCTCGAAACGAAAATTGAGGACCTCGGGAAAGAGCTTGCGGAAGAGATGGGAATACCAACATGGGGCCTCGTTACGATCCTAATAGGTAAACGCAACACCGATTATGAGTAACTTTTCTGCATCAGTAATCGAGTATTATCGAGAACAAACAATCGTTTACACGTTTACTGTTACCCAAATTAGGCGATCCAACGTTTCCCCTTCCCTTTTGTCTTACAAAATGATAGGGTCAGTTGCCCTAATACGTTCCTAATTTGGAACACAGCAATATTAAAGCAATTATCGTAATTTTCGAATTCCAAAGCAACGTTCGTAAACGAATATTCAAGAAAATATCGCAGTCTGAGTTTATGCAAGGTGATCTTTGATCTAATATTATATACATAATAAGGTAAGTGCATCAGCTTTGTGTCAGCTCGATTATTTCTTCGAATATGGTCAAATTTTCGCAACAGTTGTCGAAATTATGAATTTCTATCTCGTGAACATCATATTTCTAAAAACTCAAGGAACAATGATGTGTCTGATATGGAATACCTGAACTGGCTCAATATGCAATATTTCATATTAGGGATCGTATCTCTGATTCCATTTTTATTACATAAAACGTGTTTTCTGTCCTTTAATATCGTCTAATGCAGTTCAAACGATTATAGACAAAAAAATTGGATTTTCGAAGGCGGAAAAGATATACTCGGTTACCAGAGCAACATCATTTCGATTTGTTAAACAAATGCTTTTGATGCTTGTTTTAATTTATTAGAAAGTGAAAAAACATCAATATCCTGCAAGTAGAATATTCAATTGTGATGAAACAGATCTACAGGTTCACTTATATCAACAGAAAGAGGAAGTCTAGTTACTAGAATAATTTGTATGAGAACTAGTGGAATTTATGTGTCTCCAATGATAATATTTCCCCGTAAAAACATGGAAAATGAATTGATAAATTGTGCTCCTCGCGGAACCATATTCGAAGCACACCATTCTGGTTGAATTGAGATGGATATCTTTACTAATTGGTTTAAACATTTTGTAGAACACGTTAAGCCTTCCAAAAATGATCCAGTTCTACTAAATTCGATATATTATGCTATTCCATATTAGGCACATATAGTATTCCATATTACGAGCACTATAAGCCTAATATAGAAAATGAGGACCTCAGTAAAAAAAAAGTAAACATTTCCTAAACCGTTATTGTATTTTAAATTTTACTGTTACCAGTCAAAAGAGCATAAAATATTTAAGTTTTTATAAAAGTTTTGCAAGCAAGTGAAACATGTGTATAAAAAAAACTCATTCCATATTAGGGCAACTGACCTCTGTTGGTAAATGCTTGCTTCGTTAAATAACTAGTAAAATAATACAACGATTTGAATTAATTTGTTCAATCACACGAAGAGTATATTTTCTATTAGAATACGTGGGATGAAATCTGTCTACAACTACTTAATAATTATTTAGAATTTATTTAATTCCGAGCAACTTTTCTCTATACCTAGAAATTCCTCTAAATTACCAAGTTCCCTCAGGATACCAAGGACACCCTTTCGAGTAATTTATGGACAGATAGCTTGTACGTTGAAAAAATAATTTACTGATTGGACGGTAGATGCTTGCAGAGAAAGCTTACCAGAACAAATCCACAACCAGGTAACTAATAAACTAATAGAACTGATTGGTTGTGGGTTTGTGCACTTAAGCTGTCGCCCGCGAGCGGACTACGAGCATGCAAGTACCCATTGTTCAATCAGTATTAACGAGCTATAGGAGACATTGTGAACCAGGGGTGGCAAACCAAAGGCTCGCGAGCTAGTTATGGCTCCTTCCCCTACTTTCGTGTTCTGCTCAAGCGTAGTCATCGGATCGATACCGATTCAGGACATTCAACCAATACGATACCAAAATACTCGATAGAAAATATCGATACGACAATTTTAATAATTCACGAATTTATTTTATACGAAGGTATACACAGGCTCACGAAAATCGATGATGTATTCCTAACTGAAATTTACACAAACCGTACGTAAATATTTTAAAATTGTCGTATATATCGCGTATGGAAAATATGTGAGAATAACATGCAAAAATTTCATTGGAATGAAATAACATACAGGGTATTACGCATTTTTCCGTACAAACGTCAACGCTGTGTTTTACAAGTAAAACTAAGACTAATATAACAAAAAGTCCATGAATGCTTTGTTAAGAAGTTATAATAAAAATATGAACTGTGAAACTCGGTTGAGATTCAGGATATTGAAATGAGAAAAAAATATTTATAATTAAATAAAATGAATCTTTTGTAAGCATTCGATATCGTGAATTTCTTTGCAATTTACTGAACATAAGCTCGAACGATAGTTCAAAATTTTATGACAACAAAAAGTTATCGTCGAAGAAGGAATACTTCAGCATACAAGGTAAATGATAGAAACTGAACTCTGATAAAGAAATGTTTAAGCTTTCCTCATAATTCTACGTTAAAAATATTTTTTCGTACCTCAACTAGCAGTTGCCCTCTTTAAACAAGATTTTAATTTTGTTCGTTTAGTAAATAAAAAAACATCACATTTCATATTTTTTATATTTGTTACATGAAACTTTAGTCTCATCTTTACTTGTAAGACATACTGCTAAAGTGTCTACGGATTTTTAAATTTCAATTAGGAATACGTCATCGTTCGAATACTTTCACGAGCCTGTGCGAATACCTGTTTGAGACGACTCATCATTCAAACCAACTGTTTTACTCTTTCAGAGCGATCAAACATCCCAGAGCCTCCGTATCTCGAACAAATCACACTAATCGTGCAACTTACTCTGTTCCAGTTCCCCGTCGAACATATTCACTCGTTCACGTACTCTTTTTACCCGAAAAAAAATATTCATTCACGATACAGCGATCCCCGAACGAACGCTTACGCGCTTGCGAGTTACGCTTGAACGATAGTTGCGTCTAGAAATAAATTAAAAGAAAGAAAAAAAATTAAACCAAGCATCCACGACCCGCCCCCGGAGCCAGGCGTTTTAATTCCATCGAATCTTCTTTTTCGCTTGAGTAGCCGTAGGCGTAGTAGTTCTCGGAATCTGCTTCTGCTGCATAAGAAGATGCTGTCGCAAAAGGCGATCCAAGGACGGGAAGAAAGGGTTGAAGGGAGCGGTGGACCTGAAATCGGTGCAGCTGTTGGGCACCACGTACAAGGACAAGGTACGGATTCGGTGTTCCGTGACTTCATTGTAGATATTAGAAGCACACTTTACACTCGTGGAATCCACTTCGATCTGTTAAGGTCCAGCCGGATATGGAAGAACTGACCGATAACGCGGAGGAACCGGACGAGGCGGAGAGTAAGCAGAGCGAGGTGAAACTCGGGAAACTTCAATTCAAGGTACGTCCCTGTTCCCTGTTTTCAAATCTCTTGTCTTCCAACGCCGTCACGCAAAATTTTCCATCCCAATTTCGGTTCGATTTTCTTGAAATTGTTCGTATGCAGGGAGGCCAAAATAAGACGAAGATCAAGAATAGAAATTTGTTGATTCGGGCTTCGTTAAAAAGTTATTAACGTTTCAAGTTCCATACTGACCGGAAAATTTGTTGACAAAATTAAAAAATTTCAAATTGTTCTGGAAAAAATATTTTGGACTGCGGGGGTCAATTGCAATCATTTTTGGTGAACACACATACGTCCGAAATACTACGCATTTTCGAGAAAAAAATTCAAGAAGGTGGACTTTGTCGTCAAAAGTGAAAAATTTCAAATCGTTTTGGAAAAAATATTTTTGACTGCGGGAATCAATTGCAATCATTTTTGGTGAATACGCATACGTTCGAAATCCTACGCATTTTCGAGGAAAAAATTCAAGAAGGTGGACTTTGTCGTCGAAAGTGAAAAGTTTCAAATCGTTCTGGAAAAAATATTTTTGACTGCGGGGCTCAATTGCAATCATTTTTGGTAAATACACATATGTTCGAAATCCTACGCATTTTCGAGAAAAAAATTCTTTACCAAAAATATAATGTCTGACCCAGAAATAATTCCCCGCATGCGAATTTTTACAATGTCATAACTCCTGAACGGATTGAAGGATTTTAATGTTTCAAAATGCAAATAACGCGTATTTTGGTGGAGAATATGTAGAAATTCTAAAAATATTTGGCAAGTTGTTCCTTCACCCCGTAAAGTGCGAAAAACCCCATAAAAATGGTCCAATTTTCAAACAGCCATAACTCCTACAATAGTGAACATATTTCAATGAAACTTTTTTTTTAAGTAGAGCACATGGATACCTACAAAACAGTATATAACAACTTTTCTATAGGGTATCAAACAAAATTACTAAAAATCAAAAACGAATTTTGAAGAAAAAAATTTTTCAGCGAAAAGAAAAATTAGTAATCGTTTTAGAAAAAATATTTTTTGACTGCGGGGGTCATTACAATCATTTATGGTAAATAGACATATCCCCGAATTCCTACTCGCTTTCGAGAAAAAAATTCGTGTAGGTGCTTGAATTTTTCAGTGAAATTGAAAAGTTTCAAATCATTCTGGAAAAATTATTTTCATTTGCGGGGGTCAATTACAATTATTTTGATTGAATAGACATACCCCCAAAATCCTATTCACTTTCGAGAAAAAAATTCGTGTAGATGGACAAATTTTTTTAATAATTTTTAACAATAATTTTGCTAATAACTTTTTAACAATGCCTCAATCAACAAATTGGTATTCTTGATTTTGGTCTTATTTTGCCCCTAGAATCTCTCATTAAAATTTTTCCCAAAGGTGGCTGAACACCCTGTACAGTCAATTTTCTTGCATTAAAACTCAGAAATCCGAAACATTAAAGAAATTGGCTAGTGCTATAGTTATAGCATACTATACTTGTTTACCCGACGAAGACAGAAGGCCTGAAAACACTTGCATCAACGTTTCTAGATCCTCGTACAGATATCGTGAAACTCCGCCAGAAATAACGAATCTCCAATGTTTTTCTATCTCGACAGCCCCCGTGTCTCCAGCGAGCGATTATCGCGTCAGAAATGATCGATGCAGTAATAATAAATAATTACAGCTCGAATACGACTTCAACATGAACAGTCTGGCGGTAACAGTGATACAAGCGGAGGAACTGCCAGCCTTGGACATGGGCGGGACGTCCGATCCGTACGTGAAGGTCTACCTGCTGCCCGACAAGAAGAAGAAATTCGAAACGAAAGTGCACAGGAAAACGCTCAATCCGGCCTTCAACGAGACTTTCACATTCAAGGTCAGTGTCGAGTTTTCACTCCGTAATATCGTCGATGACGACGAAAGAACAGGACACGATTCCCCCGTAGCGAACCGCTTTTTCTTCCGCGGTGAGTTAACGAATCGTTCGTCTTCTAGAACGTCACTTACGGAGACGCGATGAACAAGACGCTGGTCTTCGCCATCTTCGACTTCGACAGGTTCTCCAAGCACGACCAAATCGGCGAAGTCAAGGTGCCGCTCTGCCAAGTAGATTTGGCCCAGACGATCGAGGAGTGGAGGGAACTGCAGAGCGTCGAGGGCGAGGGCGGCCAGGTAATCTTCGTTTCGACGTGTTTTGAATACGTTTCAAGGAAATTATTTCAAACGTCGACCACAGGTAGACAGCGGATGTTTATGCAATATGCAAAAATATAAGAATTACTTAAAGCATCAGACGAATTATTATATTTAGAGATTGATACAATCCTCTACGAAGCTCTGATTTCCTTAATTCTATTAACAAAAATATGAATTTGCATAAAAATCCGCAATCTAATCGTAAGAAAATAATCGAGAAAGCCGATTATAAGAAACGGGGGTAAAATAAAATTTGAAATTTTTCATTACCTCTGGTATCACAGTTGTTTCTTGAACTTCTCTGTTCTGAGAAGATAAATGGGTTTGTCAAATTAAAATATATCGTTCCGAAAGGGAAGAATATTTCCAGAATTTTATTATAAGATGTTTTCAATTTATCTTTAAACAGTAATTTAAATGAATTTATAGAATTTTTTGTGTCAAGAACTCAAAAATATTTTATAATAGAATTTTTTAACCAAACTTGTAATCGAAGAAGAAAATATAACTTAAGGGGCGAAACCACTCTGTCGGATTGAAAAAATCGAAATTTTTTTTTCCATCTCTTTTCAATACTTTGGGTTTTAAGAATAGAAATATTCTTAATACGACGGTTGCCCTTGCAATTCGAATATTTTTGTGGCTTACGATATTAAATCTAATAAAGTCTTCCTAACTCGGATACAAATGAAATTTTTACGACAAGTAATTTAAGAAATGTATTTTGTCGAAAAGGTTAAACATTTATTAGAAAAAGTTTCAAAGTTACCCCCAAAAAATTCTTGAAAATTGCTTTTATTTTCCAGCCATCGCAGTGATTTCCCCCCTTAAATATACACTTTTTAAATTCGATATAACTTAGTCCACTTTGTTCTATCGAATTAAAAAATAATTACAATGATAAATTAAAAATATATTTATGTATGTTATTATTAAAAATAATTAAAAAAATATAAAAATCGTAACGCGATTTGTGTAAATCTGTTGATCGCAGGATAACAAATTGGGTGACATATGCTTTTCGCTGCGATACGTCCCCACGGCTGGTAAATTGACAGTGGTGATTCTGGAGGCGAAGAACCTGAAGAAGATGGACGTTGGCGGCCTGTCGGATCCATACGTGAAGATCGCTTTGATGCAGAACGGCAAGAGATTGAAGAAGAAGAAAACGTCCATCAAGAAGTGCACCCTTAATCCGTATTACAACGAATCGTTCACGTTTGAGGTACCCTTCGAGCAAATACAGGTACGTACCGTCTACGTTTACTTATTGCCCCTGTCTGTTTTCTTACTTTCGTTCGATACAGTTAACAGACACAGGTAACATTAACCGTACACGTAACTCAGAACTTCTCTAACACCTCTTGCCGACTTTTGCACACGTCTTTCTTTTCAATTATGTTTTAGACAGAAACAATTACAGTAACTTTATTTATTAATCTGTTTGTATCCTGATAATCAGACTGCGGATCTTTATATAAATTCATATTTTTATTAAGCTCAAAGAAATGGATGCTTTGTTGTCTGAACCCCTAAATGTAATAATTCGTATCTTACTTCAACCATTTCATATATTTTTGAATCCTGTAGCTTTCTGTGAATAAAAATTTCCCATAAATGCATAAAAATCCGCCAGTCTACTGATAATATAAGAAATTTAAGCTAGTTTGGCTCATTGCAAACGGACGTCTCGAACATTTAATAAAAATTCTATCTGGAAATGAAAAGATAAATTATAAAATTATGACAACAACGTCGCTTTTAACAGGGGATGAATGAAGCATACGAAAATAGATGATCCGTGTGTAATGCGTCGATCAGCCCTTCATAAGATAGTAGTTTTTACTCAAATAAACCTGCTTCGCTATTAATAAAAAATAACAGCGTATCGCTATTCGCAGCTTCTATTTTTGAAATATTAATAGCCTTCTGGTCTTTTATATCTTATGAATGTAAAAAAAGAAGCTTGCAATTTACGTGTCTGCATTGCCTGCTTCTCACAGCCTTATGAAGGGATTATTATTTAATTAAGCTTCTTGAAAATACCATACTTCCGGATCGTGAGGCCATTTACTTATATTTACTAGAATCTTTACTTATCGCTGTATAATATTATCTACAATGCATCTCTCGTATCTTCTAATCGCTATGCATGCCATTTGGAATCTGATATATGATACACACACTGTCCATCAAAAGTATTAGATCATGCCTTCGATACAAATGCATTTTAATTTACTAAAACAATGTAATCGCGTTTTTCAATTTAAATATTTCCTTTCAAGGACACGTACACTATTGAGTCTTTAAAAATAACAATTAAACGTTTACTTTTTTCATCAGTCTTCCATGAAACGAGTGATCGAATACTTTCGAGCTTATGTTGAAAACACACACTTTCAATTAACGTTTATATAATATTTAAATTTGCAAATCTCTTTCTCCGTACTATGCAGAGACGACAAGTTATCCAGCGAGTCTGATCAGTTATAGTATAATCCCCTTCGTTGTAACCGATCGGACCAGCTAGCCAACTTCTCATCTTTCCACAATACTTTTCACTTGACGATCTTTTCATTACTCCTGAGCACGATTAAAAGCTCGCGAAAATGGACGCGGAAGGAATAGTAAAACTGTTAGTAGATGAAATTAATTAGATTTGTCACTGTTTTTGGTGATTTATTTTCTGAAATTGATTCCTATGACATCCCGAAAGCACGTTAAATTTAATCCTTTCGATCGGATCCGTTCTCGCGAGCTTCCACGCTTTAAAATTCTATGATTGGTACGGCTAACGCTAGACTATTAATGGTCCCTCACGGTCCGGAAGTTATGGCGATGTATTATCCCGTGGGACGATACATTAACACGTAATTTCGCGTTTAGAAAGTGCAATTGGTTGTCACGGTAGTCGACTACGATCGTATCGGCACCTCAGAACCCATTGGGAAGGTCGTCTTGGGGTACAACGCGAGCGGAACAGAGTTGAGACACTGGTCCGACATGTTGGCATCCCCGAGACGTCCTATTGCTCAATGGCACACGCTTAAGGACCCCGAGGACGGCGACAAGAAGGACTAAGAGCGTTCAGTATGTCCAAGTTAAGGTAATGCACACCAAAGGTTCTAAGCATATACGACAAATGTACAGAAGCAGTTTTTTCGTTTCGTTACGTTACGTTCGCTTTCGCCCCACCCACTCGACAAACTATATATATTTTCCAACGATAACCCGTGGACGATACACCCGTACGAGGCAGGATTTTCTCTGGACAAAAGAAAGGAACGAATGAGTTGGACATAAAACGAACAAAAATATCGGGATCGATAGAAAACGGATGCAACGATCTACGACGGGTAAACCGATCGTTTATTCGCTGGGATAATACAAGCCGTGCACGAAAACTAGAGAAAACAGTGAGAAAGTGCGATAGCCAGAGCGAAAGAGAGAGAGCGAGAGAGAGAGAGAGAAAGAGTGAACGAGCGAAAGAGAGTAAATATGAAAAAAGAGAAAAGGAAATAAATACTTAGTAGACTATTAATAATCTATTATTAACTAAATAACAATAAATACCATCAAGAAGATTTTAGTATTAACAATATGTTCTCATGAAGTGTAGAACCTTGTATATACGTATTATCTACTATACTTCTCCCCCTGTAGATGTAACATTTTGAATGAAAACTTCAAGTAAATCGTCCTCTTCGAGGTATCTCGATGAAGCATTGAATATTTTGCAAACACGCGTTTTGACTTCCAAATACGATTTCCGAGGTAGCATGTTTCCTTTTGTCGTTTAATCGGAAACACGTTTGATAAGGTGTTTATAAGATACTAATGCTATTCGTCTTACTAGAAGTTATATATTTATACATATGCGTATACTATATATTTTATGTATATAGTATATAAAACATATATAGATATATAATGTATACGATGTAGATTGTGTCCTGAATTGCGTGGGTAGTTGTGTAATTTTGTTCGGGAATACGTTTAGCGACATTTGTACAGATCGATAGTCGTGTTCGTGCAACAATAAACAAAATGATAAAAAATATTATTAATTATAGCAACGACGATTACATTGTAAAACAGTACACGTGTAATGATTACGAAGCGAAGACGTTCATTCTCATAAATAACGATATAACGTTCTAGCCGTTTTCGAAATACTTTTTTTCTCGTTTAACTTCGCGCGAGACGAGCCTCTCCCCCGCTTATTCTCTCTCGTGATTTTTCTTCGTTCGCCCCTGTACTTTCCAAGTTTCCGACGTTGAGATCAACATCTTCATTTTACGATGCAAAAGGACAATGCTTTTAATCGCGATATCTTCAATACGATAACGACCTTATACTGTGCGCTACCTGTACAGGGAATTCGATCGATCGAAACGCGAGAACGCGTCGGGGCGGGAAATTCAAATTCTTCCGTGAGAAATAGCATATAAACGAGGATGTACGGCGGTATTCTACGGGTTTCGCTCGCTCGCGAACGCCACGGAAGTTTTTGTTATATCGGCGTCCCTCGATTACGACGCTTTCGCTAGTATCATTTCATAGAATCACTTGTTTTATCGACGAAACCGTCGTAATCGATGGATACGCGCACGGGCGGTTCGTCCGCGAACGAAACGCGAAGACGACGCGTAGCGGGCACACGTACGGTTTCGATCGACACGAGTTCTCGACGATCGAAGACACCGACAGATCGATGAAATCGAACGCGTTCGATTTTCCCGCGCTTCCGATGTTTTCGTCGAAATGAATATACATACGCGTGTACGTGCAACTGTAAACATATTCGGATATATATACGATACATGTATTATATATATAAATATTTACCACGTGTTATATATGCAGATACTGTTATTGTTTTTAAAAACGTAACGGGCCTACCGATTGTACGACTTGCGTTATCGTTTCGTTGATCTGTTTCTTGGAACATGGACATGGCAACAAAAACATATATATATATATATATACATACATATATGGAGTTAGCGAACGACGATTCTCTGTGTAAACATCGAGGATCGAGGAAGAAATCGAAAATGAGAACGCTATTATTAAATCAATTACGAACGTCCCAAGACCTACAAGGCATTATATATTATACATATATTATATACTATATATATATATGTATCCTTTGAGAAGAGATAAAAATCGATTGTTAGAGAACGTGACTTTATACAGTATTAACTGAGTTCGACTGCTGTAAAAAAGAAAAGAAAAAAAAAGTAATTCATATATATTTTATTGCATCGTTGACCTTGAAGCTTCGAATTCGACTGAAAGAGACTAAAGAAAACGGGTCGATTGGTACAATAAAAGTAGCGTTTTTCGCGTGATGCGTGTTCCAAAACTAAAAACAAGAAAAACTGCACCTTATTAGATATCGATCCCCCTCCTTCCTCCACCATATCCTCCTCCCCAAAAGAGAACTTCCTTCGACACGCACCGATGGCCGTTTCTCCGTCAGTCTGAGTCGACAGCCGATCAAAGAGTTCGTGATTTTTAACGAATACGAGAAAAAAAATGGACCCACGTATTTAAATGGGCCACGACGCTTCTTCGAGCTCACCCTTTTCCCCCCCTTTTGACCCACCTACTACACTATTCGTCGCCGAACAACGCATATAGAGACTTTGTAAATATCACGCTGCGAATATTTCAGAGACTCCGGTCCACGATGTCTGCATGTATACATATGTCCATTCGAACTTCATCGTAACACTAGAACGATTAATTCTTTCGTAAGGCTCGACATTTTACCTTTACGTTCGTTCTTTAATTTAATTTCCCATGGAAGAACGATAAATACAATTGCACGCGATCAGAGTTGTAATAATCACGTAACGATATCACTACAGATTAATTAGTAATAACGTTAAATTACGCGTAAAACGGTAACGTATCGTGGGGAATGTCAGATATAATATATATATATATATATATATTCAACAGATTTGCCGATTACGTATGATTTTTAGCTTCTTATCGTTCGAAAAATATGTAAGATAAGAGAAGAATAACGAGGACGGACGTTGACTTACAAAAAAAAAATATCCTCGACGAGGGACGCAGACCTTTCCTTGCATACTCCCACACGATCTCGAAGCTAATTCAGTGATATATTCGCCCGTGTATCTGTTATATTCGATTGTTACCGATCGCCTCTTAACTTAAGGATGAGCCAATGTTCCGTGAAACTCGAGTTCCGTCGCGTTTCGTGGAACACGGGTAAAACTAACGTGCACCATCGACGCCACGAGCAAAGAAACACTTTTTCTCGATTCGGTTGACTCTGCGTTGCATTCAAAGAGAAAGAGAAAAGCGAAGAAAAAAAAATGAAACGTAATAGAGAACCTCTTTGGTTAGCGATGTACATAAATTCGCGTTTAAGAATTGATCTGCGTTCACGCTCCTTTCTTTCGTTCGCCGCAGATTTTCCGTAGGCAACTTAAAATACTCCCCGATCGTGCGACGTTAATTTAAGCTTACCGTAACGTTCGTTACATTAAAATTAACGTAGCATTAATTTTATACCGCGGGGAAACGAAAAAAGGGGATCAAGAAAGATCATTGCTTTGTCTCTGTTTTTCATTTCGCGACCGCTTATAATAACCGAGCCCGTGGAAGGGTTCGTTCGAAGACTCGATGCGAGGATACGATCGCCGATCAGAGTATCTAGTCCGATGAATAAAAAAAAAAAAAATAATTAATGAAATACCGTTTAAGTCACCCGTGAGATAACAACGCGTAGCGAATGTACAACTTTGCCGACGGAATCGATATATTCGTTGCTATTGTTCGCACGCTTCGCACTGGAAACGTACATGGCTTGGAAACTACCGCGTATTCACCATCGTTTCGTTGTTATATTTTTTTAAACAAGAAATTATGAAACGTCCCGGACTCAGCTCTGCCTATAGTCGAATGTGGTTGGTGTCGCCGCTAACGGCAGCGTGTTTCGGTCGGCAAAGTGGTACGTCGATTCACACGTGCAGTCTAGAAAAAAACAGCACTCGTTAGCATACATACGACCGATCATCGCAAACTAACATAGAAAGCGTAGATTAGAGGTGTGTGTAAGCGTAGAGCACATAGAGAGCGCAGACCCTTAGATATATTCATTCCAGTTCCGGTTTTCTTATCGCGCGCGGATACGCGCTTGGATACCACATCCGTCACTGTACTCAGATTTGGTTCTATCATTTTTTCAGGACCAATTATCATAAACGATTATATCGGTAGCATGTTCGAGTCATGTTATTATGCAGCATTGTACTTAAAACTTTAACGAGAAATAAAGATGGGTTAACTGTTTAAATAAACCGTCGCGACGCCCGACATCGATCGAATGATCCACGGCGGATCGCTTGCACGCGCGACGAACTAAACGTAATATTTCGAACACCGTCCTGGGTCTTCTAATTTCAACGTAGAATCGAGTAACGACGGATTTTCAATTTCAAAGGGATAATTTTTGTATAATGTTCCGAGTCACAGACACCGATGCGGCTCGCTCCTCTGAACCGTGTGCACCTTCGACGTTCTCGACAAAGATTTCTTTTCGATGAATTAGATTCTCAATATAGATCGATTTAAAATCGACCTTTATGAAGGATATCACGGTTTAGAGGGGGACCGCGCATGTTCCAAATTAAAAATATTTAAATACAACGTTACTTCTAAACTTACTTTTATCCTCTTTTAATATTATCCAATGTTTTGTACTTTCCTGACCAACGAACAGTGTACGATAGAGATATCGATAGTAAAGCGTATAAACAAAAAATAATGTGACTGACAATGAAGCTACAAGTTCTTCGTACCATTTTCAGACGAAACGATCCGCTCATCCACCTCATGAAGTTAAGATCTCATCGTGTAGGGTTCCCGTTCGAATAATCCCCCTCCCTCACACCCCGAAAAGAATAACCGAATTGCCTCGAAATATTAGCGTTATTACCGTGGTCGAATCGGGGGTACGTGCACCTTGGATTCGTCACGATTACGCGAAAAAACCCTCGCGGGACGACGCAATCCGCGAACGTGCACGCGAACGGCAACAAGCCAGCTTGTAAATATAGCGTCGGCGGAAGTAACGTACCGTTTTATGACTATTATCGGCGCTACCAGTGTCTACGTAACGTCTGAATAGTGCCTTTCATTGCTTTCGAAATGATTTCCGCGTGTAAAGCCCACTGTTGTACGACAATCGATCGATGTCGCCGTTCGCGACGTGACGTTGAAGAAAGGACAAAAAATAATAACGCTATGGCCACGATGCGAGAAGATGGAGGCAAGAGAGAAGGTTTACCAACCGATCGTGGGTACTTGTTAGTACGCGTATGGTCTGTATGTGGGTACAAC